GAAGATGTACATACTGGTATATTTTTTTTCAATAAATAAGAAGTGTGAAAAGTATATTAACAAGATTCCAAAAAGGGTACCCCACATGTCGAATCCTCTTATAATTGTGTTAGGGGCCAATGACATTCCCAAAATCCTCCAACCTAACAATGTCATGCCCTACATACTTGAATACTATTACAAAAAAACTTAAAAATTAATGAGATACGTAGATAATAATGAATGTTTGATCAAGTACTAAAAGAAAAAGATAACTTGTGCCATTAGGCACTTGCTAAATTGAACTTTCACAAATTCATCTCAGAAACTCATAAGACTTCCACTAGATGAAATTTATCAGACTGAAAAAAGAAAAAGAAAAAAAACTCAAGACAAATAGTTCATTGAAGATGGAAATTTGCAAAATGAAATATAAAAGAAGGGAAAAAGCAACTTCCAAATGATGTGCAAAAAACACGATATTTTCATAAAATACTTTTTTAAAGAGTAAAATGTGATACTTTTATAAAATACTATGATGCATTTGGACTTTGGTATCCCAATTCTGTTTTTCTGTATTGAGGTAAACATCATCAGAAGAAAAGAACTAAAATACTTCAAATGAAAAGCATTTCCTACCAGGTGTCCTCCTTGCACCTTCATATCTTCGACGTTTTCCTCCATATTCTCCAACACGCTCTTGCTCGTATCTATGACGTGACTCTCGTCCATGATAGCGCTCCTCACTGTCTTCATAAAATCTTTGTCTTGATTTTGTGCTTTCACTCTTCCTATCATCTCTATGATCTCTTCTCTCCCCATCTCGATCATACCTCTCATAACTAGAATTCCTATATGAGACACTACGAGAACTTCCAACAGATGATGCTGTAAGCTTCAATTGGAAAGAAAAAGTTAGAAAAAGCCGTGAGAAAGGTAAAAGTCAAACTATAGCATTACAATCAAGCATGAAATGAAGCACTAAATAGTTGAAACACCATCTTATAATCTGAGTTAGAGGGAAGCTACAAGTAACACCAGAACAAACTGTATTTTTTTTTTTTGTTTCTGCCATGAAAGACAACAGGAAAAAGAAAAGAAATTTAAACGTTAATATCTATACTAACAATATTTTTATTCATTCCTGATAATTCATGACAAAATCATACTCAGAAGAGGAAAATAACAGGATACACACTTAAGAAGGGATACGTGCACTACATTTGGAAGAAAAAGGAAAAACTGGTTAATAATAAATGAAAAATCCCTTACATTGGACTGCAAAGATTGAGCAGCTTCAGATTTATTACTAATTTGTCCTGACACAGTCACAGTATCTTCTACACGAAAGAATTAATTTTCCAGTTAGGCCACAAGGAAATTTGCTCAAAAAACAGAAAGAAGAACATTAAAATTTTACAAACACATTTAAATATGTTGCACTGCCAATCAACCACTTCATATAAGAAAGCTTAAACTTAAGACTATAGTGAAGCACTCCAAGTAGCTCACTTCCATAGGATAACAGATACTTTGCATAATATATATGTAAGCATGCATCCATAACAAAAGCACAGGTTTATAACAACCACTTAATATGAGAAAGATGAGACTCAAGATCCCAGACATTTTACATGAATATCAATGTAAGCACGCACTTGAAATCAAATCATGAAACCATCTAAAAATGAATTTTACAATTCAAAATAAAGGATGCATGGGGGAGGAGACCAACCAAAAACCAAATGTATATTAACATGCTTGAAGTCTGAAAATCATAAACTAGATCCCTGTAACCATCCAACAGGTACAAGGTTGATCACCCCCTTGGAGCACTTCTCTTCTATAAGTGAAAAAACAGAAAAGGAGCATAAAAGATACAAACCTCTACTCCTTCAAGCATTCACATGTTATTCAAATAAAAATAACAAGGTTATTTGAAATTAAAGAAAATGTACCTTCCCAAGTTTGAGAACTTGCAAACTTTTCGCGATATTGCCTGCTGAAATGACTTTGTTTACCGATACTTCGGGCCTCATCTGTTCCAAAAGATTCAAATTTCTCTTCCTCATTGATAGATGCTGCAACTGAAGCAACTCTCTCCTTCGGGACCTTGAATCCCCCAGCAACCCTAGAAACTTCCCGTTTTTCACTTGCACGAACATCTAATCCTGTCACAAATAAATACAGTAAATCTAAACCTTTTTCTATCAACAGTTTTACCTTTATCTATAAATAACACACCCGAGAATTAAGTTGCTCATCACTTTACTAAAAATTTGCTGATCACATTAAACCTATCTTGCTTTAACTCAGGTGCAAGCGGCAGATAAGGCCATGGATTTGGGTCCAAGTGTCTGAGTTGATAATTCTCACAGTCAAAAGATATGCTGATTCAATAAAGCACAAACTGGATATGGGTACTTGGATTTGATTGCTATGAAAAAAAAATTAAAAAAAATTATCCATAAAGCTATGTGTCATACACATAAAAAAATACAGTTCTCAGCACAAAAGATAGCAAACTGATAGCTACAGTGAGCAAAAAAATACTTAGTAATATATAATGGATTAAGTAATTATTATACAAAAAATGTTCATATTTAAGACAATCAAGAAAATATATTTCCATTAATGTGCTCTTTTTCAACATAATCAAGACTCTTCATCATTATATTCACATTATCATATACCATAACCTCTACTATGGATCATCAAATGCCTAGCACGCACATCAAGTGTCAGACGCAGGTTCCATAACAGCACCGATTTTGTGTCATGTCCAACACAGAACTGGCACTTAAAGAGTACAAACAACAAAGCATTAATTGATAGAATTTTCATACACCATACCTAAACGAGATTTTTTCTCAGGAGCTCTATAAGTTGGTCTATCTTTCACAGGAATGTGTAACCCCCCACCATCTGTGGTCTCAGGTTCCAGTGTCTCAGTTGTCTTATATGGATCAATACCACGCAATCCATCTCCTTGTTTCTAGAGAGAAAAGGTTACAAAACAAATTAACCAAACAAAGCAACCAGAGAAAAAGCACATGAAGAGATAGTTCGACACCAACCTCCATGTTAATTAGCTGAAATAGAACTGAGATGCCAAAAGTTTACAGAGATATCTCCTGCAAACAATAAGGAAGATTAAGACAAGACTAATAGTTAGAACTTAAAAAATATATTTAGTATTTCCAAAAGATGAACTAAGGCCAAGCAACGGTACTAGCTTGAAATTTATATAAATCACTTAACATATTGCATATCAACTTCTTCAAGATAAACAATCTTTTTCATTCTAGATAGATTACTAAGAGCCCAAGACTTTGATTTTTTTTTTTTTTTGAAATAAAAATATGAAGCTGTAATGCCAAGATTTTGATATATATAAAACCCTAACACAGATTCTGATTTATTATTACTCTATAATTTTAAAGATTCTCATTTTCTATAGAGCAGGTTTTGAGTATGTCCACTAAGGATCAAAAACTGAGGGATAAAAGCTAAAAGGAGAACAAAGATGCAGCAGAGTGTATTTGTTCTGTTTTAAGGCTCTTAGAGGCTTTTTCTGCAACACACCTGAAGGGCCAAGCACTACTTCGACGTGCTGAACTATAAAACCTTGTTTCCAGCTCAATCATAAATGCAGTAATTGTTTTTAAAAAGGGTTTCCATAGTTATAGTAAAACTGATGCAAAAACACAAGAAAGGCATTCAAGAAAAATGACAAAAGCAAATAGAGAATGATATAGAAGCAACAAAGCCAAGATTCATTCTGAGCGTTGTGATCTTTTTGTCAAGCAATCAAAGGGCGTCGCCTTAAGCTAATATGCTGACCCACAGAACATCCTATTTTATACATAAGCAGAAAAACCTAAAAGAAACGGGAAGTTTTGGTCCGGGATTTTGACTGTTACTGGAATGCAACAAACAGACATGAAAAGGGAAAAGGCAAAATAAGAGGGGAAAAAAAACTCTCTGGAGGGGAAGGGTAGAGAGGCCATCATGCATACTGCATTACCATTCAATTCAGTAACTAACGTTTAAAAACACTCCATACGCTATACTCTTCGATTGAACTTCATTATCGCTTAACCAAAGATCCCAAAACAACTCATAAAGTTACCACGTTAGTCGACCGCAAAATTAAACTCAATAAATATTCGAGGTTATGCAAACACACAGGCATTCCAATTTCTTTACCAGATACATAAAAAAAAAGATCCAACTCAATCACATATTCAGGGAATACATGGCCATAGTTTGCGTAGTTTTACCTATTTGAACGAATCTTGACTGCAAAGACGCCTTGAACCACACCTTCCACGGACAGAAGCAGTCTTTTTTCCCGTATCCCGTTGCAGCTTTATCAAAATCTCCCTTTTGGTTTCTCTACGAATCGCCAAGAAAAATCGAAA